AGCATTTGATTACCCATCCTACAGTATATATTTTGGCCTGATGCAAGAGTTACTCTTTGTTAAATTCTCACGGTTTGACCGCTCTTTTCCGCAGTGTAAAACAATGACTCATGTTATTCTCCTACTCAGGATGAGGTTAAGCAACAGTTGATGTCTAAAGACTCAAAATTTTCCATTGTTCTTTCACCTGAATGACCCCGGCTTAGGCTGAGCAGCTAAGCAGGAATTGGGCCTGGTTAGAATAAGGTTGGAAACTCATCAGGAATTTCCAGAGCTATAGGCTAGACTGGGAAGTCAGAAAATATTTGCAGTGTTTTTGATTTTGTGGTAGAAAGACACACCCTGGGTGATATTTTAACACTTGAATGCAGGAACATGACGTCTGTTGCCAACCAAGCCAAGAGGTTGGGTTGAGTGTATGTGGTCCACCCAATACCTTTCCCTTCTCCTAAGGAAAGGATGTACACCCTTGACAACTTTAAGCCTTGTGGATTTCAACTCCCAGAATGCCCCACCCAGTTATGCTGTGGTTCACTTAACAACCATAGCAAAAAGGTTGTAAAATTGGAGTCGCTTAACAACTGCTTTCTTAACAGTGGAAATTCTGGAGCCAGTCGTGGTTATATCTTGAGGACTTCTGGGCTTCTCTCACCTAAGTGTATTTGAGCATTACAGAAGGAAAAATAAGTTACAAATTATTGTTGTTGTTGCAAAGTCGTGTCCGACCTATCACGACCAACATTCTTCCAGACCTTCCTGTCCTCTACCATCCTTTGGAGTCCATTTAAGCTCATGCCTGCTGCTTTGGTGACTCCATCCAGCCACCTCATTCTCTGTCGTCACCTTCTTCTTCTTTTGCCCTCAGTCTTTCCCAGCATGAGGCGCTTCCCCAGTGAGTCCTTCCTTCTCAGTGTTGAGGACTCGGAAAGTCCTCGACTTACGACCTGGCGGCTAGCAACAAACCAGGCGGCGCCCTGATTGGCTAGGGCGTGGCATCGCTTGTTGCTAGCCGCTAGGGGCGCGCTCATTGGCTGTCCCTGTTTGACAGCTCCATTTAAATAGCTGTCAAGCAGGGAAGGTGCAGAATCGCCTGTAAATGGTTACCGTGAATAAACTGCTTGTTCTGACAGTTCTGGCTCCAGTTTCGTCCTTCTGTCGATCTTCAAAACTCATTAGGTAGCCAAAGGATTTGAGTTTCCTCTTCAGGATCTGGCCTTCTAAAGAGCAGTCAGGGTTGATCTCCTCTAGGATTGACCAGTTGGATCGCCTTGCAATCTAAGGGACTCAAGGAGTCTTCTCCAGCACCAGAGTTCAAAGGCCTCAATTCTTTGGCGCTTAGCCTTCCTTATGGTCCTACTGTCACAGCCATCCATTGCAACTGGGAAAACCATAGCCTTGGCTATGCACAATTTTGCTGGCAGGGGGATGTCTCTGCTTTTTAGTATGCTGTCTAGATTTGCCATAGCTTTCCTCCCCAGGAGCCAGCCTCTTTCAATTTCTTGGCTGCAGTCCCCATCTGCGGTTACAAATTATGTTTACATAATTTAAGCACAATACAATTTAAGTTACAAATATGATGATCTTTTTCTTCTTCTTCTCAGATTCTGCACCAGAATTTCATCTGGTTTGGGCAACATGATCACATTGCGCAAAACATATTTGTTGCACACCTCCCCCGAAGCCGATAGTCATGTTGATTCATTTCGTTCTTTCGTTTTTTGGGTTGGTTTTTTTTTTTGCTATCATCTATTTACGGCTGCTAGTTTACTTTTGTCATCTTCTCCGTCAGATTGTCAGCCAGATATAAATGTACTCACTTCCCCTCCCCCCTGCCTTCCCATTTCCCCTCATTTATAACCAGCATGGCAGACTTTTCATTCTTATTCATCTTGCCAAGCCTAGTCTTGGGCAGCTTTTGGGCATGGTGGCTGCCCAAAAGAGCGAATGGTCTACGTGATCTTCTCCTGGATGCATAGATTAAACTTATTTCTGCAGCAGGTCAGCTTCAGCAAAAGGCATGGTGGAATTGCTTAGGCAAAGCATGGGATTCCGAACACAGAACTGCAGCTTTTGCAGAGCTCTTTACCACTAGCTGGCCTGCATCACTGCAAACGTAGATGTAGAGTAACTTTCTTGTCACTCTGAATGTACAGCAATTGACATACATTAAAATAAAGTTTTGTTGCATGCAGCTCTCAAAGGGTCTCCACCTTGAATATGGACTACATAAACATGACAGAATAAATAAATAAATTATGCACAGGTAAAGGTAAAGGTTCCCCTCGCACATATGTGCTAGTCGTTCCCGACTCTAGGGGGCGGTGCTCATCTCCGTTTCAAAGCCAAAGAGCCAGCGCTGTCCGAAGATGTCTCTGTGGTCATGTGGCCGGCATGACTCCAATGCCGAAGGCGCACGGAACGCTGTTACCTTCCCACCAAAGTGGTCACTATTTTTCTACTTGCATTTTTTACGTGCCTTCGAACTGCTAGGTTGGCAGAAGTAACAAGTAACGGAAGTTA